GAATGCAAAGAAACAGGAATGCAAGAGGCAACCAGATTGCCCAGCGCTCTTGTGAGACACCTAGTCCGAGCAGCTAGTCTTCTACGACAATTTTGAATGGCCTTAGGAGTGGCTTGGGCCTCAGATTTGTACTCAGCATGTAGGAAACAAATTGACACTCAGGTTGTTGACAGGAGAGGGTTTAGTGAAGGATCGTGGGCTTGTTTATTAAAGACTTTTTATGAAAAGAGAAATGCACAATAATGTAAGAAATAAAAGGAAAAAGTTGTTAAACCGCTTTCGTGATCCCATCTGGTAATGTATATGTCACTCTCCTCTGGAACAAATCTTTGGAAGTGTTGCAACAAGGCACAGTTTAGAGCGCAGTACGGCTTCTCCAGACACCATAATGGTCCTGCCCAAGTCCATACAGAAACGCACCCGTAAGGGCCTTCTGTGGCCCACCTTTGCTGATATGAAATTACTCTGTAAAAGCAATGTGCGTCAGCTTGGTTTTGTGTGTGGAAGAGAGAATGAGAATGTTGTCATGATTCTGTCTCTCACAGGAGGCTGACAGGTGTCCTCTGGCAAATGCAGTGGTGGCAGGTTAGGGTGTAAGTGCCTCCAACTGTCCAGCCTTCGTCGTTGTGTGGAGCTGGTGTGCCCTGGGCTGTGAGCTGGAGCAGCAAGGCGTGGGTGCCCGCTCCGTGCTGCTGAGTTCTCCGCAGGCACAGGTGACTCAGGCAGAGGGGCAGGTTGCTCAGCCAGGGTTCCTCCCTGCAAACACCTGCAGCACGGCAAGGCAAGGATGGCTGTCACCACCGCGCTGCTTTTTCTGTGGAGCCACCTCGTATTGCAAAGGGGTGGAGATGCTCAGGAGAGATTCAAATGCCTCCTTGAGTCATGACCCAATTTTTCTTCTGTGCTGTGCTGCACAAGTGCTGCAAGGCTTCTTCGCCGGCTATCCAGGCAGGGGACATGGAGCTGGAATGCCCCAGGGATCATTTCTGTCTTATTCTCCCACGTTTCCCCTTTGTGGGAACACGGAGTAAGGAGGGACTGGGTCTCCCCCTGCATCTAACCCCAGTAGGGAATTGGGACTAGACATGAAGCATATCAGGACCCAGCAGCTCCTGTGAGCAGTTATGAGTCCTGTGGTTCTGCCAAAGCTTGTGAGACTAAGATGTAGCTTGCAGTGAAAAAGGACTTCCTCAGAATGCGAAACGTACGGAAATAAGTATGTGGGTTTTGTTCAGCGTAGTGTGAAAATGACTGGGTTTGATCACTTTGAAAATCTAAGAGTAAATGGAATTTACTGAGTTTGCTTTTAAAATAAAAACTTAACCATGCACAAGTTTAGACACTTAGAGATGACTGTGTGTTGAGCTAATAAAAGTTGATGTCAACATTTTAGAATATGTTTGGAAACAAAAAAGAACTAGCGTTTGATCAAGCAGCAGTCACAAAACCACTCTTCCCTTCATGATAAAAAGAAAACCTCCATGTGTGATTCTGCAAATATGTCAGATCATTTTGAAGAGTCTAGTAAGTGCTAGTAAATTATTATTTTTGTTGTTGTTGTCAAATGACTTTATTTTTTGGCATTAGACTTAAAAAAACCCACCACCTGTGTATGTGTTGTCATTATGTACATCAGTCATAATTTTGCTGACAATTCTTGACATGCACTCTGCGTTGCTGTGCTAACAAGAGAAAAGACCAGCCATTAAGTTTATGTTTCTTTGTTTTTGAACAAAGTCACATATCAGGACTAATGCTAGGGGTATGCTAATAAACAATATATAGTGCCAGTCATCAGGGAGTAAGAAATATTTTCTAACTAGTTCTAAAGGGAAACAATGTTTTAAAAAAAGGAAGAGTGATTGTTATTTATGCAGTATTGTTGTTCTATATGTCAGCATCAAAAAGCATCTTGTAAAGAGCTTAGCATAATAAATCTTTGATCGTGACTGTCATTATTTAGAGGTCTTTGATAGATCTAGATGTAGTGCAGTAAGGTTACATTTACCAACATATAATAGGAAATCCTTAGACTGAATCTGAATTTCTACCAATGTTGCCAGTATTGTCACAACAACAAAAAAGGAGAAAAAGTGTTGTATCTTTTATAACAGCAGGCTTTACAAATTCTAACTGTAAAACTAAGTCAAAGCAGATTTGTTTTCCGGGTGCCCATTGATTTTGTTTGTCTACGTAAGGATTTAACATGGTTACATTTCAGAAAACTAAAGCTGATTTAAGTGAAAAACAACAGAAAAGGCTTATGATTGTTTCTATGAGAAGCAATGCATCACATTTTTTTTATTGTCATCAGGAAAATTAAAATAGCCTCTGTGTATGAGAAGCAATGGGAGATTTGTAGAGAAGCCCACAGGAACACTTAATTTCAGAGTTGGCTTTGATTAGTCACTAATTTTTCAGTTGACTTGGTAAGATAAAATAACACATGTTTAAAAAGTCTTTATATTCCTGCCTACAGGCTTGAAGTAGAAAGATACTTAATGGATGGCACTTTATCTGTCTGGGACAGGGTATCAAAATTTAGATGCTGATAACAAATCCAAGAAGTCTTTGATAATGTTTAGAGACAGAGAAAAGAACTCTTTTTTTTTCAGTATAATCGATAATATCAGCTGCATCACACTTTTCAGAAGTTAAATGCATACAAGACAGGCTGTATTTTTGATGCACATTATCTGGTGAGCCCTACTTCTTCCCCAAATAATATATAGGAAATTTACATTTTACTACACCTGTGCCAGCTTTTTGTGACTTTACATTCTTTAAAAAAATGTATGTTTTTCTTGTGTTTTTTTTTTTCTTTTTGCCGATATAGGCAAGGTGTCTGTGGCTGTACAGAAAGATATATGTCTCTTGAGTTACTGCCTTGATGTGGCAGTTCAGAGCTTACCTTGCCTTCATTACATCTTCAGAACAACAGTTGAGCTCTCCACGACTGTTACCTTAGGACTTGAGTCCTTGATAGTAGTTATGCAGTTGAGTAATTTTATAAATCTGACTTGTCTCATTAGATGCCTGGATAACTGTAGATTTTAAGTCTTACGATGAAAAACCAAGATCTTACTTTTGAATATACTCTTAGTTTTCACTTTTAAAGCAGTGCTTTTGAATATCAAACTCTGGCCATTTCTGGTCAAGAAAAATAATAAGAGAAAATAAAATCACATTCTTAGGATGTTGAAATGTCTTGGAAAAGTGATATACCTTGTAGAAAGTGAAATAGCAGATCTTTTTTGGAAGACACCAAGACACGAATGAAAAACGTTTCCTGTGCACCAAAGAGAGCACAGTAATGCATTTCCCTTGTTTATAATGAAATCTGATCTGTATACACCATGATTTTTAAGTAAGTCAGGCCCAATCTAATGTGGCCAGAAGGATTGCTCTCTGGCTAGTTTCCAGCCAGCCTTCCCAGTTTTAGTACAGGCTTGCCAATAGATGCTGAAGCAACTGCCCGAATACAGTAATCGTTTGTCCAGACTAGCAGGGATTTTTCCCTCCATGAAAGATGGCAACCCCATGGATCATTTAAAAGGTTCGGTGCAGAGGAGATTCTGCAGCCTGGTTGAGAATGAGGGAGAAGCAGATTTCTGATTTCTGTGTTCTGTTGCTGGCTTTGCCCCAGTTCTGTAGTGGTCCTAATCCATTGGTATAAGATGAAGGATTCACATGGATTTCAGTGTCGTTTGGATCACATCCCACATATCCTCATTGCATTTTACCTTCCTTGAATATAAAGCTGGTGTTTTAGCAATACTGGTCTGTCCATGGTGTTAGGAAGTTGAAAAAAAACAATCTCTACCAAGTTTCAGGAAACTCCAATAAAAGGTATTACAGAACTACAGAGTGTTATTTTTTAATATTACTAATTAAGCCGTAATGAAATCGCCATTGGAGAGCTTTAAATGACCACTTTGAACTCAATATTTGAGTTACAGTGAAATGGTTCCAATTGTATGTTTCAGTAAATTTTATCTACCCTTGTTTCTTTAGAAGAAGACCTACCAGTGCATCAAATGTCAGATGGTTTTCTACAATGAATGGGATATCCAAGTTCATGTTGCAAACCACATGATTGGTAAGTGAAGCACTAAAACTTCTCGAAGACAAATACACATTTCTCTAACTCATGATCATCATTGCCTCTAAAATTAAACAGAGTTAAGGAGAAATTAATTGTGCATCCATCAATGATTAACCTAGGCATGATTGATTTTTTTATTCATATTATTAGACTTGATAAAGCATTAGCATGCTTTATTTTCTGCAAGGGCTAGTTTAGACTTCTGCAGAGAATTATATATCCACTGCCAGTCAAAACACAGGTGATTAACAAATTAAACTTCTAATCATTTTTGCATTATTGAAAACAAACTAACAGGAATGGTTAATGAACTGGATGTTAGCTTTCCGTAGAGTTTTAGACAGGTTTTAATTTCAGAAGTTATTATGGTAATGACACTACTGTGTACTTCTCAAGCACCTTGGTATCAAAATCAAAACTGGCAAGTTTTTGTCATTAGGAAACATAAATAATTCAAATGACCCTAAAATAGTATTGTTTGTTGTGTTCGAGCAGTCTGGAAAAAAATCCTGAGTGTATCTGTATACAATTAAATACTATCATTTATTTGAAAAAATAAGGAATTGTAGTATTCAGTAACGGAATCTGCTTTTTAAGGTACAAGCACTTAAAAAAAGGCTTTTAGGATTCCAGAATCCAAGCCTGGCTTGATGTTTACAAGGCTGTTGCAGTTGTAAATTGGAATAAAGCAAAAGCTTCTTTTTCTTTGATATTCATATTTTCCTATTATTTGCTTATTCCCCTAGGATTACCCATAATGTTTTCAATTTGGTAACCACTCAGTAATAGCAATAAGAGTTCTATCAGCCAATTAAATTTATCAAGCACATCATTTGCCTGCTAATAAGGTAACATTGCCAAGGTTGTCTCATTTTGTTTTTAGCCTCTTTTCCAAATTTCACGTTTTGAGACTGCGATGGATACCATTGATTTTATATACCTGCTTCCGTTATGCTGGTTTTCTTGCTATAATAGAAAGGCATGCAAAGCACAGACAAAACTATATGGTACAGAAGCCAGTAATTACATATCCAACAGAAGAGAATTTGCTGGGTTTTTTTTCATTTTATAGCTTAAAAATACTTAGCTCGATGCTCGTTTTTTTTTTCTTTCAAGGTAACATGCAGATTTCTTTCATGAGTACTAGTAATTTGGCTGCACTGTAAAAGAAAGTTACTTGCCAAAACTTAATAGTCCGTTTCTCTGGGTACTTTATTAATAAATTTTAATACATTTAGAGCATGAACATTTTATATACTTTTCATAAAAATGAATAAACGCAAATGACAAGCTGGTTTTGTAAAGGAGCAAAGCGATTTGCCTGTTGGATTAAGCTTTAGTTTTGATATTTTATGTCTTTGGGGAGGAGATAATTTGAACTGCTTCACAGTGTTCAATCTGGGTCAGTAATGTGGAATTTAAAAGTAGGTTATTACTAACAACAGAACTCACCATTTCTGCTGTTTTCTTTGAATCCAGTGTTTGATATGTTCTTAATTGTAGCATATAGTGACACTGAAACATGAACAGGGAATATGGACACTGTGGGTAAGAATGCTGGAATGGCAGAGTGGTGTGTTTGCTTGCCACCCGCTTCCCAAGTGCCTCACATTTTCAGAATAGGAGCCTGCTTCTTTCATTAAATACTCAGATTTATTTTTTTTTTTCTCTATTTTCTGGATGAGTTTTAGTACAGGGTCAGAATGGGAAGAGAGAAAGGACGAGAGAGTCAGTAAAACAGGACAAATCCAGTTAGCTGGCTTCATCCTGCAGATCTGAAAAGACTGAGATTTTCTTAAACTGAGCTGTTAACTGCCTGTGTTTTATTTCTAAAAGCTGGATGAGGTTGAATGAGAAAGAGAATCTTTTAAAAAATATTTAATTGTTTTGTCTGTGTTGTATCTAATCATGCATGATATTGCTTCATGACATAACCATAGTGACACAGATTTAAACGTGCTTAATATAAAATCTTCCCAGTGAAATGAAGAAGGAAGCTGCAAAACATGCAGGGAGATTTGCCGGTCATGCTTGTGGTAATCTGTGTTCAGTGGAAGATTCTTATCTGCACTGCCAGACTTAACAGTGCAGCTCCTAATGATGTAGCCTCGATTAAGCAAATGCAAGGGGATTTTGTGTTGGGGTGGAGTGAAAGGAATATCAACGTTCCAGAGAGTTTTGAATGTGACCTCGGAATCGAAGCACAGGGAAAAATAATTTCTGATCTCCAATTCAGTTAGCCTTCTCACCGCTAATTGGATTTTTCCTTAGCTATCTTTCTAATTTCGCTCTCCCCACTCCCCTTTAATTTATATCATTGTTCACAGGCCTTTTTCCAAGACCGTATTCTGTCTAGAGAGAAAGGTTCAAGGGGTGACATCAAGCTATTTAAAATCAGCCTTAGTTTATGTGCATCTGTAGGTAGGCTTATAGTATTCATGTATAATGCAGAAAACATGCACGCAAACACATTTGTGTTATGTATATGTAATATATAACCCTTATAAATACCTGTAGATATCTGCATGCGTATCAATAAGTAGATTGAAAAATATATTTGATGCAATACTAAAGTGAATATTGACTTGTTGACACAGCACATTTACCAAAGAGAAAAAAACTGGCTTCCTAAACACGTTGGTTCCTCCCTTTTTCGCATGTATCTGATAAAATATGTCTTCCTGGCCTGCTTTCCCAGCAGGAGACTGGCAGAACAAGATGTAGTGTCTTCACTTCTCTGGGGAAGGGAAACCGAGAAAGCTTCAGGAAGAGAGAGAGAAAAAAAGAAATGCAAGAGAGAGGGAAGGTAATCTGGGAAGGCAGGCGTTAGAAGTCAAACAGTGTGATAATCCCTAGATCAAGTGTAAGGGCAATAAATGCCTTTACAAACATCATCACACAGTCTCAGGAACTGTTATCTCCTCTCCTAGTAAAATGCTAACATCTTCTGTGTTGTGGTTATTGATGGAGATAGTGTCCTCTTACCTGAAGGATTCCATAATCATAATTCACAGAAAAGAGAAAAGCAGAGGCAGCTGGGACAGGGGACAAACAAGAAGGTGGAAAGTCATCTGCCAGATTCCGCTGAGAAATGGGTGGGAACCACTGATAGATCTATGTGCTCGGCCAGCTGAGGGAAACAGTTGCTACTCACCATCCTTTTAGCAGTTTGGGAGCCTAGAAAAGTTGATGGTGTCCCATCTAATTACTGTGCCCCTTGGACACGATCCTGGGATGTAAACTGAGTTCATGTTGCTAACATCCACAGAGAGAAGTTGCATTATGGAAGGTCACTGAGGCAAAGATATGTTTATAAAGCCCCAGTGTAAAACTTAGACGTTTAAATAAGGCAACTGGAATTACCTTGTTGGCCAAAATAGCTCTACTGAGGGTAGGTATTTTTAGGTTGTGTGTATGTGTGTGTTTTTGTCTAATCAAATATCATCTCAACTAGACATTTAGCAGGGGAAGAGGGATTACAGGCTCTTTGAAAAGCCTCTTACTCTTCTTTGTTAGGAGGGTATATAGTGTTTTTACAGATTTTATTATACCTTTCAATCAATTCAACAAGAGAAATTATGCCACCTAATGGAAAATGAAATCTGCAGATGACCCAGTGAAGGGTGACCTTAAGTATCTTTGACAACAATACAATTTACATTCGTTATTATACAAGTCAGATATTAAAAAGATGTCATAGGTATGGCTTTCCTCAGTAACTACATGTTAATTACTTCTAGAACTTCCCATTTTAAAACTGTTCCTCAGTTTTCAATCAAGTCTTCCCAACATCTTTGTGATGGGACAGGGCAATGGACAGGGCAATAAACCTTGTCCGCTGAAAAGATGAGGGAGGAGAGAGGCAAAGAAGTGGAATTCCTTACTTGTGTTAAGTGAGTGAAAGTTCAAGAGTTCTGACTGCCGGATCTGTGTGCACGTTTCTAGACATGATGCTTTGTCAAACAATACCCGTGTTTGCTTCAGCTACACACTGATTCGAGCTTAGGCTCAAAGGTGCCAGCAGACAGAAAGCGAGGCAAACCGTGGACTTTTTTAAATAGGCCCTCTGTTTAGGCATTGTTTTGGACCTAAATGTGAGCATGTACTTTTTGTTTGGATAATCGTCAGGATGATTGCCAAATGAAAACATTCATCGGTGTGTGTACTGAAATCCAGTGGTAAAACAATTTCTCAGATTTTGAGTGGGAAAAGAGAAAACATAAATTCAGGTGTGTTTCATAGGGGTTCAAGAAGTGCTGGCAAGCATGGTAATTCTTCAGCCACCTTCTTTCTTTTACTTATCTCTCTGGGTGGAATACATAGCCTTTTTAGTAGCTTTTTTTGAGAGAATTCTATTTCTGGGTGCATGGTGTCTGTGGAAAAGAGGGAGGCTTTCTGAGATGCCTTTGTTTTGCTTATATAGTTTACAGTTGGCATTTGAACTGAGAGGGTAGGAAGAGAGTCTGCCATTGTTTGTGTTCTGTTTGCTGCACTCCACTGCTTCTCCTGTTATTTTCCCTGTTACTTTAAGCAGACAAGCTAAACATTGTTTTTTCTTCCACTGATTCCTTTACATCTCTAGCATCTGATGCAGTTCAGTGTAAATAGTTGCTGTAACTGTTGCCTAGGATTTTGCACACGTGCAAGTACAGAGCGGATCAGAACTGGGGGAGTTTGGATATGTTTAACTCAGGAAAGGAATTACTCCATATAAAATTATGAGGCTCAACAGCAGTAGTGTGAATTTGTAAGTGCTCTGAGTGAAGTGCTGTTAGGCATGAGATAATGTAAAGAGATGACATTGCCAAGAACTATTTATGAAAAGCTTAATTTTTTTCACTCTGATAATTCTTGACCAATAATTACCAGCTTCTAATTATCTATTTTAGTTAGAAAGAAATCTCTATCACTATGGAGGTTGGCATTGCAACTAGCGCATAAATCCCCAAAGAGGTAAATGTGTTCCAAACAGCCACAAACAACTGTCTCATGAAACATAGTGAGCAAATTGCG